GCTTTTCTAGGAGAATGCCATGGGAAACTGTGTCATATGCCTTGCTAAAGTCAAGGTAGACAACATCCACAGCCTTTCCCTCATCCAGTAAGCAGGTCACCCTGTCATAGGAGATGGGATTAGTCAAACAGGACCTGCCCTTCATGAACCCATGCTGACTGGGCCTGATCACCTGGTTGTCTTGCATGTGCCTCATAATACAGCTCAGGATGATCTGCTCCATCAGCGTTCCCGGGACCAAAGTTAAACCGACAGGCCTGTAATTCCCTGGGTCGTCCTTCTCTCCCTTCTTATATATGCGGGTAACATCAACATGTTTGTGTTGTACCTCTCCAGGCGTGGTTTCTACTGGCTAAGTAATCACTGGGCACTTTTGCTATACTATTTAGATTACCTAAGCAGAACCAACAAACTATGGATTATTCATTCCACATGTCTCTAAACTGGCATTTTGTTGGTAGATGACTTGGTGAGGAACTTGTGACCTAAAGAAAAGTTTGTCTTTTCTCAATAGGCTTAAACAAGCTAAAGCACTCCTCATCAGTAAAAAAACTTATGACTTAGTAAATGAGGAAAACTGTCAATTTTGAAGAAATCCGTTGTTTAAATAAAAGGCTTTTAACTATTTTGCAGTTTGGTATCATCTGGAGTTCCCAAGTAACAGTGATGTTGGTTACTAACTTACTGGTGTATTTCGGTGTCTTGCACTTTGGTAAATAAATATTGTACGTGCAGATAAAGACTTGCTACACAGCAAGCCTTCAGCATGTTCAGACATCTCACTATGGAGGTGCAGCTACGGCACTGAGAATTTCTAATGAAATCTTTAAAAGTTGAGTCGAGCCCTTTAACAGCGAGAGCAGAACACTTTGTACCTGTGGGCAGGAAGCGGTGAAACGAAAGTCAGCCTTGCTTCCTCAGAAACTTCTCTAAAAGAACCTGTGTGATGCAATGCCTCTTCCCTGAAAAGCAGGGAAGAAAAAAACCAAACACAGAAAGCCCCTTCTTCCTGACTGTGGGGTTTTCTTTTTTTTCTTTTTTTTCCTGTTTTTTTCTTCTCGGTGTGTGTTTGTGCATGTGTAGTGGTTCACTTTCCCAGACCCCACTGAGCTGGTGGAGGGCTGTGCTGCCACACACGACATGCCAGAAGAGGCTGAGGGAGCTGGGAGAGTTGATGTCCAAGGAAGGGATCTCATTGCAGTTGCCAACTCTATAAACATTTGCAGGAAAGTCAGACTTTTGTCTGAGGCCTCCAGTCAAAACACAAAAAGCAGCTGTCACGAATTGCAGCAAGGAATCCCACTTAGATGTATGGGGGAAAAACTCATGCTTGAAAGTGGTTAAGTGTGAGATAAAACTACCATTAGCCCTGTTCCGAGCATTAGGCTGGCCTGGCTGACCTCCAGAGCTCCCTCCCAGACAAGTTTTCCTGTGAGTCCGTGCTGACTGCTTAGAGGAGTAAAAGACTGAAAACTATGGCTCCAATTGAGAATAGTCTTCGAGTCCAGAATAAGTTGAACCACTCATTTTTTATTTAGTCTGTGTGAAAAGCCACATGTGAGAGACACTTGTCTGGCATCTGCCAGTTACCAGAAGTATTGTCTATGCTTCGGGACTTTCTTCCCTTCCTTCATCTTCTGGCTTTTCACACAGACTACATAATAAAAAAAATAAAAACCCTCATCCATGCATGTAAGCAAACCACCCCCCACTTCCACTGCAAGTATCAGAGACTCACATTTGAAAAGCAAAAGGTGGTTCCACAGAATAGTTCCAGGATTAAATTTGGTCTTCTCATGGATGGGAAACAGCTCGTTTTGGGGGGGGGGGGAAGAAATCACTAAAACCAAGGAGATGGTGTTATCAGATCGGCTGAGTTAGGCAGCTTCCAGCAAGAATGTACTTGACCGTTACCTCCGTGTAGCAGTATGCAGTTCTCAAGAGAAAGATATCTGTTTACTCAGCATTCAGCTAGATTTTTATTTCAGGAATGGAAAAAATTCACTTGACCACAATTCTGTGTCTGTTCACAGAAACATCAGTACTGCTGTTTCACAAAGGTTTGGGTTAAAAATCTGCTAGGATGAGCTAGTATGTGGACTCAGCTGCGGAAAGTAATAAATTTTTGTTTTCTATTTCTTCATCAAGTACTTTTCAAAGTATTCTTAAACAATATTGTTTTTTAAATATCCTCATTTGTATTTTAAATAGTATTGCAGTGCATGTCATCCTAGTGTCCCTTAATTGTTTACATTTTTAAATGTCCTATATGTGTATTCTGTGAAACTCAAGACGTGTATGTATGTACACGTCTGTATGAGTGTGTGTCTGTAGCTGGTACTTGTTTCACTGTAGCTATTTTTTAATCACACGAAACACTGAAGAAGCATGGCCAAAGTTGATGAGTAGGACGCTAAAAGCTAGTAATGTGGGGATTACCAGCAGCTATTTCAATAGAAAAAATATGTGAAAAGTTACTGATTACTTCAGAGAGCCAAGCCCAATTGTAGATAAAGCATTATCAGAGTGCAGCACAGAGGAAACCCCAAGTTTTTCCATGGGATAGGCATTTCTTTTCCCATTTCACCACAAAGCAGTTTTTCTGAGCAACGACCTGCCAGCACTGGGCAGGCTGGCCCTCAGCTCTGCAGCCGTAGGTGGAACCACCATCACAAGCAATTTTGGCAAAACTCCACACTTCAGCTCCTGGCAGCGGGCTGTTACATGAGGTACGGGAAGGTCTGCCGGTACAATTCAAGTAAGCAAATACAAAACCTGTGACTAAACTTTGATGACATTTCAGTCGTGATTGGTTTATGAAAGTTCCCTATTCCCGCACTTGAGCTCATATAACATGATGAAATACTGATTGTGTTTGGAGTGGGGAACTAGTTAAAGGTCATTGAATTTTGAAAATGTGTTTGGGAAATCGGTACATAAAAAATTCCTAGCCAGTGACAGCAGGGTGGCTTTTCTGCCTTTTACCTCCATTTTTGTTTTGTTTTTTGGTGCATTTCTTCTCAGATCCTTGATTCCCTTAACTGGATTAGCTATACATCCATATGTTTTATAAATGTATATAAAACTATATACATCTATATATAGCTGTATCTATCTGGCTATACAAGTAACATTTTAATGTATCTACTGCAAGTTCGCTGCTTGGATCATGAGATAGGGGTGATCAGCAGAACTAAGAACCTGTGTCCATAAATTTGGCTGAGGCCAGCTTCTTGATCAGATGTTGTCCAGTCTGCTGAGTATAGCTGGTTGCCTTTAAATAGAAGACCTTCATTTGAACCAGAACTTGCTTTTTTTTTTTTTGTCCTGGCAGATGTTTTGCTTCGATCTTTTCCCAAAATAAAGCAAAGTTTTGTTTCTGCAGACAGGTATTCTTCATTTCTACTATTTCTTTGGTGGCGTTGTTACATAGTGCTGCACTATGTCATATGAAATTTGAGTTTTCTCTTCTTGCTTGTCAATGTTATCTTGCAAAAGGAAAATGCATCGTGACTTTTGCCCAGATGTGCTGGTGCGTGAGCAGCGAAGCACATGTGGATGTCAGCACTGGGGAGCTTTTTGGGGAGGGAAGAGTGAAGGGCAAGGCTGGGCAGTAAAGCCAGCAGCCTCCTGGCTGCCTCCAGCAGCATCACATCGGCCACCAGTGACCGACTTGGCTGAGCTTTCCACACATCCCAGGAGCACAAAACCTGGCTCCCACCAGGCAGCTGCACACATGGCACTAAAGAGCTTAGAAACAAAATGTGCAATTACTTTCAGCAGGGAGCACTGGTATCCCCACCCCTGGGGTCAGGCTCTCAGGGATGTACATGTTGGAAAGGCAGAATTTGGAGGACAGCAGCGACAAATACTAGTGTTTGTGGAGCCAACGTCACGGCACACCCGCACCAGTTGGGGCGTATGACTCGTAGCAGTCTGAAAGTCCAACACGGGGCAGCACTTTGGCCCAGTAGGCTGGGCTCACATCCCTGTTCCCTGCCCAGAGGCTGCCCGTGCTGCAGCTGTCCCAGCATCTCTCCAGAAGCCAGCGTGGTGTGGATGCGCTACCCAGCAGTAAGGCTGGCAGCAGTTTTTACAATGCCCTCATTCCTCCAGTGATATATTCCTAGATGACGTTCTGCCACGAATGCACCTGCAAACTCTATTCGCTTGCATTGGACCCAAAGACAGGCCACCAAATCAATGACATCCCACGGGTAGGTCTTTTATTTGTTTGCAGCAAAATTTCTTGTGTTCTTCAGCTTTGAGTGACTAGCAAGCTGAAAAAAAAAATAAAGTTTAGCATGGTAAGCAAGAAAGCTTGTGTGACAAATCTATGGTATAAAGTAATGTTGCCAGACATCATTTGGGAATTAGGGCCTAAAAAAACCCAATGTTTTTCATTATGGTTTGCTTCATAATTAGTTCCAAACTTCAGAGTGACCACAGCTGCAAAGTAAGAACAATTGCTTAAGTTTAATTTAGAGCCACTCATGTGTTTTTCAGCTAAATTAAACCAAAGCCAACTGGGGATTTTGGAAAGAGAAAATAAGGGAAACTTAGGAGTGCTTCACAATTACTTCCTCATAAGACATGCCCAAGAGGAAGAGACACACTCTTCAGTCATGGAGCTGCTCTCTTAAGCATGAGGGGGATCACGCTTTCCTCCCTCTGCTTACTGATGTACCTGCTTCAGGATGAGATAACTAGTAAGTAGAGGCTTTCTGCTCTTTCTTATGTATGGGGGAGGTGGGACGGCAGTGCTGGGTCTGTTACTGAGTCTCAGGATGAGTCAAGAAATCTCTGGATCTTTCAGTGGGTTTCAAAATTCTGGTCACTTCCAAACCAGTCTATTATTTTGACTTTTAAGGTTCTGAAGTGCAGGTGAAACAGACACATTGTCCATTACATTTGTTTATGGCTGTAGTTTAATAAGTATGCATGCAGTTTCAGTTTAATAAATACAAGTGTCATCTGATTCTGTGGAATGCCAGGGGTAAGGCTGCAGTCATCTGGGTCAGATAACCCAGAAAATGTTATGATTTGGATGCATCAGAGAAGTCGTTAGCTGACCCTGCCCCAGTAACCATTGCAGTTTGAAAACAAATTATCTTGAAACGTGTCAGGCAGCTTCTTCCAGTAGCACAGACTGGAAAAGCAGTGAATTGCAGGTTATTTTTTTATTATCACTAACTGGTAAACATGGTTGCGGTAACAGTTACGATAACTATAAACCCTGCAGGTTAAAGCCAAGAGGTAGGTGAAAGAGCACTTGACTTGAAATACTAATGTGGCTGCTTACTGCAGGCTCTGTGATTTGATTGAAGGGTTTGTTTTCTGGGATGTCTATCAGGCATCTTTCACAGCAGTAAACTTAGCAAAGATAAACCAAACCAAAACACATAAAAGTCTTCCTTTCATAGTACTGAATGTGTTTGTTCTGCAACTGCTAGATCTGTTCGTTGTGACTCGTAAAGTTTTGAACACGGGATCCAGGAGGTTTAATTTCCCTGCCAGCCATGAAACCAAAGGAGCTGTTAACAGTACACCCCTATTTCAATGCGGAGGAGCATGCCCATGACAAGCACGTAATGCTATCATTCCTTATTATTTGCAGCAATTTTAGTTTTGGAAAACCAAGACCTGCAAGATTTGATTAAACCGCAGAAGGTAGAGTTTCGTTCGTTAAACTTCAACAGCACTTTGCATTGGCAGCCTGGGAGGGCAAGAGAGACAAGTGACACGGTCTACTTTGTGCAGTATAAAGTGTAAGTACTGGGGGAACTCCAGCCTTCCACCTGGCTGGGGCCCATCCCTGCTTGGCACACCCGAGGAATTGCTCAGGTGACATAGGATGTTGTCTCCATACCTGGGGAACAGCCATGTCCTGCTCAGCTGCCAGGTCTTGGTTGTTGCAGTACTCATCAATAGCCCATGAGGTCAGGGAGCAAGCACCTCCAGCAATACGCTCTGCACCCTCATTGCACCACAGAGTTGCAGAAAAATGTGGTTTGCAAGGGACCCTGGAGGTCGCTGAGTCCAACCACTTGCCTGAAGCAGGTCTAGCCAGGTCAGGTTCTTCTGCAACGGGGCATCTGAGGTATTTCAGTCGCCCACCTTGCCCACGACAATGCCGCAGCGTGCCTCATGGTGGCAAACTTGAGACAATGCTGGGGGCTGCTCCTCAGAGGAGCTACGCTTCCATCCCTCGCACACCTGGTAAGCACCTGAAACCACTATTGCCCTTGAGAAATTAGCTGGTGGAAAACAGCATTCTGCCCGTCATTGAATCCACTGCCTAAGCCAACGCTCACCTGTCTCTCCCAAGGGGCAAGCACGCAACAGCTCCCTATAGGGCTGGTGACCCACATCTCCACTTTAAGTTTCTTTCAGAACAGACAGAAACCTGTAGCTCCCAAACACCCATTAAATCAATCTGTCCTGTCGTCACATTGAAGGGTGTTAACTTCCACAGTAGAAATGCTTGTCAGCGCTGGCAAGTTAACTCAGTCAGTTATAGCTAAAGCTTACATCCTTCCTCCTCTTTCTTCACTCCTAGGTATGGGCAGAGCACGTGGCAAAATAAAGATGACTGCTGGGGGATTCAAACCCATGTCTGTGACCTAACAAATGAGACCTCTGACATCCAAGAGCCCTACTACGGCAGAGTGAAAGCTGCCTCAGCTGGCATCTATTCCGACTGGACCCTCAGCTGCAGATTCACTCCCTGGCGAGAAAGTAAGTGCAAACATATGGGTCTCTCTGAGAAAGGGATTGGATTTCTGCACACAGTTTGCAAACGTGAGTATTCCTTTCCTAGTCACAAAGCTTTACCAAAAGAAATTGCAAGTCAATAGTTCTCAGGTGAAGTGTTGTGATAAAATAATATACCCCACAGGTCAAAGTCAATCAGTTATGGATAAGGAGCCACTTATCAATAATTAGGTGATCAGAAGTGCCTGGCTCTCTTTAACTCAACCTCTTCCTGAAGGCATGGAACTACACAGATTATTTTCAGACATTTTCAGAGCTGCTGGAAAAACTGGACACAACATACAAAAGGAGAAAATATTCTCTGCTTGGGAGGAAAAAGGAGAGAAAAGAGCTGTGTGGCCACCATTCTTCTCACTTTTATACATTTTCCTGACTGCAGTGATATCAAAGTTCAAGGCTGGGCCAGACACTAAATTTTGGCAGACACTCTCTGTGATCCCCTCACCATTCCCCAGGGGAAGATAACAGTAGAAACAGGGAGAAAGACTCTGAGGTTGAAAAAACACTTCAACAAGTTTAATGAAAAAGAAAAATAGTACTAACAATAACAATGAAGATGTCAAACTATATACAGATATTGTACAAGTACACAAATATATTCAAAGATACAAGAAAATGTGTTAATACAGATTGCATGCTTTGTAGATGACAACTAGGATCCAAGCAGAATGAAAAAAGTCCCAGACTGGACTCAGCAGCAGATGAGAGCATCCGAGCCCAGAGTTCCAACATTAGTCAAAAAAAACAGAAAAGGAGCTGTGCCTCTCCCACACAGGGAGGCAGGGAAAGACAACCTGTCCCATTGAACAGTGCTTCTCTGCAGTGTGAGAACAGGAGACACCAGCAGCACAGGGAGAGATGAGCAACCCCCCCAGCACAGCAGCCACTGAAGACCCCAGGGCTTTTCTTAGGGGTACTTATATACTGAGCACCATGGGAAGGAACACTGTGATTGGTCCATTTTGGTCACCTGACCCATCCTCTCCTCCCCATAGGCACAGCTGGCCCCCTTACACACTGTGATTGCCCCCTGGGCCAGGCAGCTCCAGAGAACTTTTATGCTGGTGCTCTCAAACCAGGACACATGTATTTAGAAAGGACACGTGCAAAGCTTTCAGCTAATACAGGCACTATAATGCCATAGTATGTTAGAAATCAGACAAGTGAGAGAAAAATTTCAAAAAATTTGTCTAATGTTATAGTTACAAACACAGGAAATGTCACTCCCAAAATGTCCCAAGCAATAATCACCAAGGAGTGATAATTTACAAAGTGGCATTTTGAGACTAAATACAGCATAATGTATTGTTGGTAACAAGAACATTAAATTGTTGACTGGATTCAAACTGCATTCTGTGAAATATTATTAACAAACTGTAATTGTGCTCATTGCTTTGTTTCTTTTCCTTAGCTATGATAGGACCTCCAACAGTTACTGTGGTTCATACCAGCAAATCCATAATAGTAAAGCTTTGGGCTCCACGTTCTCCTTATAAAAGGAAGAGAGGCAGCAAGATACCAATGACAAATTATTATGATTTGCTGTATCAAGTCTTTCTAATTAACAACTTGCTAGACGAGGTAAGTGCATATACAAATATGAAAATTCTACCATTGAAAAGTCAGGAAAGTATGGGCACATCATTCTTGTTTTACAGTCAAAATAGTCTTCTGGGACTGTGAGAGCATCTGCAATTCTGCAAGTATTTGAAAACAGAGTAGGTATGTTTATCCGGAATTGAATTTGATTGAATTAAGTTGTAATTGGCCCCTTTATTCTTTCCCATAAACTTAGTATTTCATACTCCTAGACCTAGAGTAAAAAGATGGGACAGGAAAGAAATTTTGAGTGGGAATTTTCTTTAAAAATCATACATAATTTTTATAATGCTATGGTCCTCATGCAAGTCCATTGCTGCTCTGCGTCCTCCATTCTTACCTTACTGACAGACACAGTTGCTAGGGTAATGTCCTTGACTGGCTGTTTTTACTCCACACTGAAGCAACACAGGGTCCTGGCATACGAAGGAAAAGATAAGGTTATTAAAATAGAAGATTTGAGGCCCGGAGTCAGCTACTGCATCGTGGCTAAAACATACGTGCCAGCGCTGGACCGCAGCAGTGCCTACAGCCACAGGCAATGCACCGTGCTGCAGTGACAGGGCTGGCACCTCTGTGATGGGTAAGTCACCAGCTGGGACTGAAGATAACTCTGGAAGTCAAGAGCTATCCTCTCCTCAAAGGCAGATAGTCTCCAAAAGGAGAAAACAAGGTGTGGCATAAAACCTGCCATCCCATACAACATTATCAGCCAGAGTTCTTGTATCATCTCAACTACATCACACCAGGTAAGAATGATTCTGCAAACAAGAGTAGAGGATTGGCATGGATAATTATTTACCTGCTGGAACGGCCCTCAGAAACACCTTTTTCTTCCCTTCCTTTAAGCAGTTATACATAGTATTGCTTTCATTGGTTTTTATTGCTGTCAAGTAATAATTAACTAGGAGAATGAGTGACCTCCAACTTCATTGACACGCAATCCTGCCACAAGTTCTACAGTTCTGTTCAGGAACTTATCTGATGTATTTATTCAAATGAACCTGTCCTCGTTTCATGGCCGTTCTTCAGGTGTATTAAGTTTTTGTGGTTTGACTCCTGCTGGCAATTAAGCACCACACAGGCGTTCATTTACTGTTGCCCTCTCCTTGCCCCACCAGGTGGGATGCGGAAAGAATCAGAAAAAAAAATAAAAAATTCATGGATTGAGATAAAGGCAGTTTATTAGTACAGAAAAGGCAGAGAAAATAACAATAATAAAAACAACAATAACAGAATATACAAAATAAGTGATACACGATACAGTTACTTGCCACCCCCTAACACAGACAATCCCCAAGCCACAGTGCTGTACCTGTTACTAGGAAGAAAGTTAACTTTGTTCTAGCTCTAACTAGGACATATGTTTAAGTATAAATGTTCTCAAATTTCATGAGTTTCCATGGGCCAAAAGGCTTGAAAATTCTGTTTATTTAGTTACCTCAATCACTAAAATATCGTATGCTCAGCAGGGAGGTTTACTATCAATCCTGCCAAAGTTGACTTCAGTGTCATTGGCCTTAGCAAGCTCAGATTTGGGTCCTTTCTAGGGGTAATGGAGGAAAACTATCAAAGCATCAAAGTTTGAACCTGTGCTTCTGTTCTCAGTTCAGTGCCCTAACTACAAAAGATTTTCTTTTTTCTGCTTCAAAATATGATGATCTCCCTTAAGACTTGGTTGTTGGGTTTGGGCTAAGGAGGGAGGCAGTTTCTAGGTGGTTTTCCTGCAGTTTTCCTTGCCCTCCCTGGAAGCTCAGGTTAGAGTTGGCCTTCTGAACAACTTGAGGAGGTACAGTTAAATTTAATATATTGAATTGAATTCAGGTAATCTCAATACCATCCAGCTTAAATACACTCTCCAGCAGCAATTCTCTTTTTCTTCCCAGTAACAGGTATAAAGACAGAAGATGCGTCCCACCACAGGTCCAGCAGTGCATCAACACCTGTGGTCTTTGTCTGGAATACATACTTGGATACTTTTTAAATTGACCTTTACTGCATCAGATTATTTGATTCATCACGATCATTTTATGCTACACAAAGGCCAAGAATTCTTTGTATGTCCTATATTACAATTTATGATGGTATAAATTTGCATTTATAAAGGAAAGAGCCTTGTAATATATATATATATAAAACCCCAAACCAACAACCAAATGTGCAGAAGGCATTTGGAAAATATTCTTAAGATTGTTTCCAAGGTTTTTCTATTTCAAGCCTTGGAATTAAAATACAATTAATAAAATAGAAGTTTCAGATATTTTATTACTTCTAGAATAAAAGTTGTAACAGAAGCCAAAAAAAACATGAAGGAATTCAGCCACTGGCCTGTTTGGGTCACCTGGCCCATCCTGTTCTTCCCACTGTGATTGCCACCTGTGCCAGGAGCCCCAGAGAACTTTCATCCTGGTGTTCTCAGACTGTGGGACACGCTGTCACGTTTGCTAACCCGATTTCACCTCCCTGGCAGCAAAGCAGGCTCACAGAAAGTGGTCAAGAGTTGCAGGAATGACCCACTTCCATTCTGACAGTACCGGGAGTTGTTATTGGCAACCCTATGACATTCTGCAAAAGCCACTTTTCTCTTTCCACTTGAAAGGCAAATTTTCTTTCAGATCTCCTCTGACATGTAATTTTACTGTGGAATGGCTTGTTAAAGTGACTGGTGCTGTATTTTTTTTTTCACTGGCTCGTGGCATGGGACTCCTCAGGGAGGGTACTTTGCTGTAGCATATGCCAGCTGCGTGATCTGCACCCACAGCTTCTAGATAGCATCTAGATAGATGGTTGTGTTGTAACTTTGTAAAAACGACCTCATCATGCCTTAGCCTATACGCTGCAATGCTGTCTATGTCCCCTCGAGGGTGGAATGGAGGAAGAGATCTCTGAACTACAGCTGGAGCTTTCCTGCTGGGAAGTCAGTTTGGACATACCTGGGAAAGCGAGCTCTGGCCATCCTTCCCCTTCTTCCTCACAGAGACAAGGAAACCCCCTGTTGTGGGTCCACCTCTCCAGAGCTGCCCGGGCTGGCACACGGCTCTGCAGTGGTTAGTGCACGTGCTCACCACTCAGTGCCGGGCACCTTTACATGGTTGTCTTCTTTTGCCCGTAAGTTTGCAAGACCCAGCTGAAAACACCCTTCTCGTGTTTTATTTTAATCACAGAGAGGGCATTTTCTAAGTGCCAAATGCCAGTTTCTGTTTTGGGAAAGAGAGAAATAAATGCTGGCTTCTAGGGCTATTGCATGGGGTGGGGAAGACCAGGCAGTGCAACAAAAGCAGGGCTTGTGCAACCTATTCTGTAAGCCCTTGCCTGCCGCATCACTGGGGGATGTCTGCAGTCACAGACACAGCCCATCACAGGGGCCTCATCTGGCCAAGATGCTGTGTCGTGGCTGAGGGTCCTGCCGATAAGAAACAGGTATTACTTCTTTCAGAGTCTGCAGTTACCACTCTTTGTGTGAAATGGACCCTGTCCCACAAGGGCCTGCCCTTCTCTCTTTCATGATGGTACCTGAACATACCTTATCTGTTGGATGGAATAAGAGCTTATCTCTCACTGTAAATTACTTCAAATTCCCATTCCATTGGCACTCAGAAGAGCAGTATCCAACTACCAGAAATTCAAGAACAGGGCTCGGGAAAAGCTGATAGAGCAACAGCAATGGACCAGATGCTCCAGCCTTATAAATTAGGAGAAGATTATGCATAGCCAGCTGCACTGTATAAATGCCCAGTTTTATATGATGCCACGATCCTCGGTGTTTATCATATGGTCTAGCATCTGGCCAGTCCTGTTCATACCTCCCATATATCTGCTCTAATCAGATGTGGACTTGGGATTTGTTTACGTGCACGACTTCATCTCAGCTAAGAACCACTCTCGTGGCCCAGGGGCGGGTGCTGCTGTGAAATGGCATTAGCTTTTGCCACAGACCTGTCAGACATTATCAAGTACTCCTAACAGCAGAGAATTAATTGTAAATTGTTGAGGTTTTCTATGGATTTTCTATAGATCTCAATGTTTGCCACAAAGATAGAAGATACTACTCTGAAAAATCTGACAGATAGGAAAAAAACCCAGAGAAAGTAGAAAATAGACCTCTGAGAGTTAGTTTGCCACAAAAGACGCAGGAAACAAAACCAAGGCTACTTCAGCAGTGATGTACCGACTGTATGTGTCCCTGGCATGTGCCTGCTTGCTCTGCAAGCTGTGCTACCGCCTCAGAAAAGAAGCAGAGCCACAAACAAGAGCTACTGCAGCTCTGTACTCCTTAAGCATGTGCAGATACAGTATATGTGATGCATTGGAGTAAAACTCGCCAAAATGGCTTAGAATGGGAAAGATTTTCCCCTAATTTTTATACCTGCTGTGTATTCAAAACAGTTGAATGCACAAACTCGTATTACCAGCAGCCATCTAAAGGAACATTATGTTGTTCATTTTACCATGACTGAACATTACAACAAAAAACATGCTGCTACTTCCAGATGACGTAGGAGCTGGTAGAGCTAGGCCATCAACATGGTCAATGGAAAGAGCTGTGCATTGGTGAAGCCAGCACCTGGTGGGCCACGGCCAGAAACATGACCGCTCAAGGTCCAATGATAGCCAGTCATCTTATGGGATAAGATGGAGAAATAAGCCAAACAGGGGAGGGTAAACTGAATAGTGGAGAAGGTTCTATAAGCTTCTACAAGATTTTCTATAAGCCCTCACACTTTGTGTGAAAAGGATTCATGCAAACAGTTCCAGAAAAATATTTCTAATGAAAAATTGGAATTTTACTGAAATAAAAAACCCCAAATCTTATTACAAATCTTATTAAAATATATTTCATAACATTGTGCTTTTCAAGTGGAAAAAAAAAAACAACAAACAAAGCAAAAAACAAAACCCCAAACAAGTTTATTTTCTCTGTGGCCACAAACCCATGGCTTTCATTTTCTGGACTGTAAGATTTCCAATGCCATGTCTTAATTTCCCAGAGTAGGACAGGAATAGAAATTTTCCCTGACATCTCTGATCAATCTTTACCTAACACATCCAGTCAGAGCTCATACCTCAATAGGTAAACTTTGAGAATGCTTTCAGTGAGGTGCTGTTTTTCTGGAAGCAGAATAATTCAGTAACCCTCCCTGGAATGCAGCTTATGCCCGTGATGCAAGGCAGGAGGTGAGAAAGAGGACACGGGTCCGCACAACCCTCAGTCCCAAGCGGGATGCTCGCATCAGAGTTGAGGTTGTTCCCATCACCCTCTGCTTCTTATTAATGAAACCTCTGTGATTTCACTAGCAGAGACTGATGTGTCAGCCTTACATTGGCATGAAAGCGAAGAATCTCCCCCACCTTGGGTCAGGCTTCATCTCTGCTGCAGGGGCTCTGCTCCCTGCTCCCCGCTCGCTTCCTGCAAGTTTCACAAAAAAGACCTTGCAATACCTCATCTCCTTGCTGTGCAGGCTAGAAAAGAAGAAAACAACCAAAACAATGCCCAAGAAATTTCTGCTGTGTGGTCACAGGGATCCAGACAGCTTGCTGAGGTTTGCGTGCTGCAAAACAA